GTTCGGTGGCGCGGGGAGCGGGCGGCGGAGCCGGCACCGCCACGGCCCTGCCGGTGGAGGTGCGCCGTTGTTGGTATAACAAACGCCGAGTGCCAGAAATCACAAATAAATACTGACAGTGAAAGCTAACAGCCATGGGATTGTTTTCTACGCCGGAGGAGAGGTTTCCTGCTTTGAAGCTGCTGTGATCACTGGGTAGGTTCACCTGAGGACAGGTTTAAGTCCTTTGAAGATAACCTCTCGTGAACGATTCATAAATTGAGGAAAATGGGCTCAGCTCACAATTTTATGCTGACTTGCTCCTGTGGGGTGACACGCTGTCAATAATTGGAGAGCACCACATGTATTTTTGAGCTATGCAGAGGGGTTCTTTCCTTCTGTCACTAAAATGTTGCCACTTATGACTTGGGATACAATCTCTTTGCAATGCACAGTACAGAGCTGGAAAATAAAAGGAGATCTAGTATGACATGAAACTAATAGATTAATGCAGCGAGATCAACACCTTGAGTGCAAATGGCAAGCTGTACCAGTGGTGAAGGGGAGTGCTAGCACAGCTGTATTACCATGTCTTTGTGAAGGGGTCATTAGAGCATCCATTATGAATCTGATTGGGTTTTCATTATGCCTTTTTTCTGGTATCTTTTATTTAACAAAATTTAACAAATTCTCATTATGAGGGGATTACTTTGACCTGAAGGCTGATAAAGGTACTCCTGCAAAGTAAGTACTCTGCTTATGAAAGACATGGGTCATAAGAAGTTTTCAGTAATTCGTGAAAACGGTGTCAGTGGGAACACCGGTGCGGGCATCTTCATAAAATCTCTATATGCTTCTCCTTCAGTTGGTCTGTCTAGGGACTTTGTGTCTAATGAGCTTTCCCCTACAAAATGCAGCTTGCTGTTACTGCCTTGTGACATGGGGGTTCTCAGGGCTTATAACTATGAATTGCTTGTTGTTCTTTCTTATGTGGTATGCATATTGCTCTGAAGAGGAGCAGTCTTGAGGAAATCTCAAATGATACTATGTTAGCAATACTTCCATAGATGTTTTCTCTCTCACCCTTCCTCCTCCCCTTCAGGCCCAGGTACAGTCGAGTTACCCTAACTGCAGTCTTCTGTGACTTGGCATTCAGTTTTGCACTGTGCAGTGTCTCTCTTTGGATGCTTGTGTGGAGCTGGGGATTGTTCTGTGTAGGGCATTGTCCCACCATGCTTAACAACCGTTGCATCAGGATGATGGTAAATGATGGTAAATGTGGGTTTATGGAGTTCTGCTTTTGACAATAGTTGGGGATATGCAGCAAGAATGGCATTGTGTAGACTAAGGACTACAGGAAGAAGGACTGGTGCATAAAGTACACCAGAGGAAGTATCAGAAAATGGGAGATTTGTGGGAGTTCTGTACAGTCAAAGTAGCAGAACAGCTGGGAATCTTTTCCCCAGGGGAACTGTAAACAAAAAATAAGAAATTTGTTTTGCTTACTGGTGTGCAGCTGCAAGGGTTTTCCTACAGAGGTGTGGGGAGATGTGGAGCCATCCCTGTACAGCAGCAGCCTTGGTCCATGGGCAAGAAAGCATAAAGAAAAGGTCAGACTTCACTTAACGAGCTGTTTCCATTTCTGGCAGCAAGAGGCAAGAAATTGCATGTGATTTGTTAATTCAGCAGATCTGTTGGCATCTATCCTGAGATGCTGTTTTGGAACCCATTTGGCTGTTTTACCCACCACAATATGTGTGCTTTGGCTACTGGAGTCATTCTGATGAGAGCCAAGGAGGCTGTTCAGCACATGAATACCATTAATCTCTGAGAGGGGAGTAGCAGTGCTGAGGGTGGCTTGTGGGGTATGTATTTTCTTCTCAGGAATTAGTTTGAAACTTCAACTCCTGTACTGAAAAATGATATCAACTTCTGGTTCCAAGCATGTTTGTTGTCAGCTGACCTCATCCAACTGTTCAGCTTGTGTAGTCTGAACTTCAAAAACACATTCTTCAGGTGCTCCAGTATAGTCTTATGGAAATAGAACCAGCAAGAAGCAGAGCATCGTACCCTCTCCTTGCAACAGAGTGTCTCTGCTGAATTCAGGAATGTAAATAGGAGGAAGACCAAACTCGGTCATTGTGAAAAAAGTTTTGCGTTAAGCCTTGGCCTTAGCACAGGCAGCAGGAGTGGTAGGATCAGATTCACGGTGCAGCAGGGGTCTGGATCTGCAGCCAAGCCAGAGCTTTGCTTTATTGTAAACTTTGAGGTTGTGATTCAGTTTAGCTTGAGTGAATTGCAGATAAATGTAAACCCATTGCTGTTATGGGAACTCCTGGGAAGCGTGACATATCTGACTGCTAATTGTTTTAAACATTTCAGTCTTGATCCCTGATAATGGTAGGCAATGCCTAGGTAACCAAGATAGGATCTCTGGTGTCTCGTTTGTGCAAATATGGAGGAGACATGCCTATAAAACATATATGCCTGTTGTCAAGAGATGGACAGAAAAAGTTGTAACTAATATGGAGGCTGCACTCAGTATGTGAAATATTATGAAATGGCTTGAACGTCAGTAAATTAAGTTAAGCAAAGTTTTTCTTAGTCATTTCATTCTGAGCTATTTTTCTTCCAGACGCCTACCCGTCATGATTCCACCATCTGCAGCAACCCCTGTCAGCGATGCCGCACTCTTGCCAAGCATGGCTTCTCAGGAAATCTGGAGGTCACAAGTTCCAGGCTATTCTGCATCCGTCACACGGCACATAAGTCATCGGGCCAACAACTTCAAGAGACATCCAAAAAGGAGAAAACATATCCGCCCTTCACCACCGCCACCACCAAATACTCCATGTCCTATTGATTTGATTGACTTCAGGGATCTCCAGCCTCAGAGGTCTTTCCTAGAACTGCTGTTTAATGGGTGCATTCTCTTTGGGCTTGAGTTCAGCTATGCCATGGAAACGGCCTATGTTACCCCCGTGTTGCTTCAGATGGGGCTTCCAGACCAACTGTATGGAATGGTGTGGTTCATCAGCCCTATATTAGGTACCTTTTCTTTACGCTATTTCTTCCCTCTTGTTGTTTTCCACTACACAAGGGCTATATGTTTTTGTTTTCTCCACCTCAGCTGTTCACAAGTATGTTCTGTGTGCTCTCGAGGTTAAGAAGCACTAGCCATAATTTTAGACAACCGAATGGAGAGTAAGTCTTTGTGTCAAAAGGTCTGTTCTTTTAATGGCTTCTCAACCTCTTGCATCTTGTGCAAGGGTAAGCTTTGGTTACTCCTTTTCTATATTTCCAAACTAGCAGAAGAGGATCAGTGTATCCATTTATGTCCCTATGAAAAAAAGCATACAGAGACAGTTCTCAAGGGTGTGTGAAAAAAGCAGAGTGGGATTGCCTTCTCCTGTTAACATTCTGAAACAGCGAGGTGTTCCAATGATGAAAGATCGTTGACCACTGCTGTTACGGGCATTGGATTACTTGCCTTAGCATGGAGGCAGGGCTGGGAGCATAGCCATTACTATGGGAAGAACCACAGGATGGGCTGTTACCACTTGGAAACTTTGTTCTGCCTGTTCTTGTACTGATGGGATGTGCTTCTGAAGAAGAGAGTTGACAGGACCCTAATCACAGGCTGGCCCAGACTAATACAGGCACCTTTCCAACTCGCATGTTTGCTTCCTGCTATCTTCCGAGCTAATTCTGGAGGGGATCTCCTGTCGAAGACGGGGTAAATGAAATAGCTTGTAAGGAACAGAGTCCTTTAGAACGTAAAACTGTTGTACTCTTACTGTTCACCTGGTCAAACTCTGCTGTATTAATGATGCAGAGTGAACTGCCAGGACAGTGGGCATTGGCACATTACGTTATTCAGTCCCTGACCTGGAAAATGCCAGAAGTACACTGTATGTGCACCTGGGTGACTAGGACTGACTGGGGATATCACTATGCCATGGTGTCCTGCCTTTAACTGCCTTTTAAGCTACCTATTTTAACTCCCTTGTGAAACAGGCAAGTAGAAAAATGCTTCTTATTGGTGATTCTTTTTTCCTAGGGTTCTTGCTACAGCCTTTGCTGGGGGCCTGGAGTGACAGGTGCACATCAAGATTCGGGAGGAGAAGACCTTTCATTCTGGTCTTAGCAGTAGGTGTGTCTTTTAGAAACTATGGGCATAACACTTGTAGAGGAGAAACATTGCTCATCTCTTCTCTGACATCCCCTGTGGCTCTAGGCTGAATAAAATGCCTCTGAAGTGTTGGGTATGGTGAGTCTGAAGAACGTGGTGAGTGGCGCTGAGGTGATGCTTTGGCAGCCAGAGACCACACATAAAAGCTTCTCTTGTCAGAGTCTGAAGAGATGATGTTTTGAGGGTTAGGAATGTTTTTCTTTGGCCAGAAACAACTCTGGACGTTTGTAAGCTTTAACAGTGGAAAGGGATTATATATATATATCCTATAAGCCACGCTCATTCCCCAGACTATGATGATTTGAGCAAGAGCGATGGTGCTTGCTGCAAGGCTGTGCAGGTATTATAATGCTTTTAGAGCATGGAGCAATGCAGGGGTTTTTTGCTTCCAAGCAGTCAGTTAATTTATTTTGATTTGGTTTTATTCCCAGGAGCATTGCTTGGGCTCTCACTTATGCTGAACGGCAAAGATATAGGGAGTGCCTTGTCTGACACTGCAAATAACCACAAATGGGGGATCATTCTTACGGTCTGTGGTGTTGTCCTCATGGACTTCAGCGCAGATTCAGCAGACAATCCCAGTCATGCCTACATGATGGATGTATGCAGCCCAGTGGATCAAGACAGGGGCCTCAACATCCACGCTTTGTTGGCAGGTATGCTTTCTTGGTGCTTCCTGGGTGATGTGAACCCTAAGTAAACAAGCCCTGCTGTGAGAAATCAGAGCGTAAATCACTGCTCTTTTCCTGTATAAGCATAATAACTGAATACCTGGAGCGGTAGCACTAATTAACTTTTAAAACAGACTTCTGCTTACTGCAAAAGGCTTTGGTAACTACCAAAAGTCAAACAAGACACAGTCCTGGGCTGTTCATCTGAAGGTCCCTCACGTCATTTATAACACCTACGGAAACAAAATTATCCCTCGAGGGAGGAGGTTTGACTTCCTGCAGGTGTGGAATATGCCTTTTTTAGTGGCTCTGTTGGAGGGGAAAGTGCATACAGGTCACTATGGTTCCTTGCTGTTGTCTTCAATTGCTGTACTGCCCTAGCCAGTTTTTGCTCTCCATCAGGAGGCTGGTTCAGGCTCTTGAATGTTTCTGTAAGAAATAAAGGATAGTGTTGTAAGGCTTTCACCATGTGAATGGAGTGAGAGAGGTATCTGGTGCCCTCTACTTCCCTGTTCATCGGTAATAATGCAGTGGTACTTTTGTATGCTGTCAACACATTGCTGAGTAATGAGCTCGCTACGCTTCTGAAGTGATTCGGTCTGTCTTGGATGCAGTTAGATCTGCATTCCTCTAACTGAGGGAGGAAAATGGATTTTCACTTACTTTCAGGAAAACAGTCTTAGCTGACTGATTGCAGAGCCTTGCCATGAGGCTGGTGGACACTTCTGTTTTACGGACTGAAATAGCTCAAGGTAAAGTGGTTTCTTCTTGGCAAAGAAAAAACTACAATTTGTGTCATCACTTTTACAGCACTAACCGTCTCCCTCTTTCTGTACCGTGTTTGTACATCCAGACTGTCCTTGTGGTACAGATAACTGTGTTTATTACTGCATTTGAATTGAAAAGGTGTTGAGTAGTAAAACAGAAGTAACATGTTGGATTCGACTCACAAATCATTAGACAAATGGTGCTGTGCTGTTACTGACTTCCAGGATTGGCTAGGGAAGATAATCTCAGCTCTCTTTTTCCACCAGGTCTTGGAGGTGGCTTTGGTTATGTTGTTGGAGGAATACACTGGGATAAAACCAGTTTTGGAAAAGCTGTGGGAGGGCAACTTCGTGTCATCTATGTCTTCACCTCAGTTATACTGACTATCACTACTGTGCTGACTCTAATTAGCATTCCAGAAAGACCCTTAAGGTCCTTTAGCAGGAAGAAAAAGGTGATGAAGAGTCCAAGTCTTCCTCTCCCTCCTTCTCCAACTCTCTTCTTTGAGGAGGGTGTAAATGAAAACTTTGCTTCTCTTAACTCAGCTCACTTGCATGCAAGTTTTACAAGTCCTGTTTCCCCTCTCAGCCCACTCACGCCCAAATATGGCAGTTTTGTCAGCAGAGACAATTCCTTGACGGGAATTAATGAGTTTGCATCATCATTTGGGACTTCAAATATTGACAGTGTGCTTATAGACTGTTTTACAGGCGGGCACAATAGTTACTTAGCACTTCCAGCTAGCTTGCCCAGGCAGCCTGTAAGTGTCAGCTTTCCTCGGGTGCCTGATGGCTGTTACCAAGGAGAAAATGGAGTTCTGGAGCAAGGGGAGAGCAGCATAACACCGCAGCCTGACTGTGAGGCGCTAAGGGTAGGGTCACTGGATGCGATAAAGCCACGGTCATCAGGGATCCTGAAAAGACCTCAGACCTTGGCCATTCCAGATGTCATAACAGGACACTGTCCAGAAAATAGCAGAAGAAGAAATGTAACCTTCAGCCAACAGGTAAGGACAGAAAATCAATGATGTGATCATGTAAACCTGAGCATTCATTTAATCTCTTCATATGGTTTTAAAAGCGTGGTGCACAAATTCATCATTAAAGACTGCTCATGACAGCTTGCTAATAAAAGTCATTATGGGAATAGCATACCTGCTATGGTTGTATTGGTAAAATAGTGGATAGGATGTGAATTATGACCAGCAGCCTGTCAACTGCTTTTGCTAAGATGGCAGAAATAGGAGCATTCTGCTCTCACCGGGCCACGTGTGAAAGTTAGATCAGTATTTTCAGTCCTGCCTCACCACCCAGGGAGCTACCATGTGAGAGCAGAGAAAGACACATTTTTATTGAGCCTGTATCTTCCCTTTCCACAGAAATATCTGCAAGATAGGGCCAGGGATAGGATTCTCCTATGAGCTTCTCCTTATGGCAATCATTACATCTGGTTCCATCTGGGAGGTGAGGTTTCCCTTACCCAGGGATAAGATTCTGACCTCACCTCCCACTGTTGGTGATAACTTGGAATGTCTGAGGCCTTTGTATGCTGGCCCATTTTTTTATGATCCGGGATGAGGTAAACTGTCCTCTGTTGTTTTTTGGTTTGGTTTTTTTTGGGGGGTGGAGTGGGTGCGGTGGTTTTTTTTGTTTGTTTTGGTTTGTTTGCTGCTGTTGATGTACTTTGACCCAGTTTCTGAAAGCAGACTTTGTTAGGGCCTCTTCTTCCTCGATGTCTCTAAAACTTCAGGAACCAAATTCACCTGGATGTGAGTACAGCTCCTATTAAATACAATGGAATATATGCCTTCCCTATCCTAGCATCTGGATGTGGTTGCCAAATACCCTAGAAAAGTGAAGAGTACTGTTTCCAGTATACCAGAGGTTGCAGCGCAGTGCCGCCATTTAATGCTTGTTCCAAGGTGAATTTACAGCTTAGCTAAGTACACTGTTCTCAAGTCAACATGCTGCAGCAGCAGAGTTTAGCTTTCAGATGATCAAATAGGTGTGTAATCTTGCATCGGTTTGCTCAAAGGATGTTTGGGTTTTTCTTACTGTGTTTGTTGACCTGGGAGTTCTTATGGTGCAGGTTGCTAATATCTTGCTGAATGGTGTAAAGTATGAGAGCGAGCTGAATGGATCAGGAGAGACCTCTGAGCAACCACTCTCTGTGAAACTGCTTTGTTCAACCATCTGCCAGATGCCGAAGGCTCTTCGTAACCTCTGCATCAACCACTTCCTAGGTATTCACAAAATGCCATCTTACTTTGACCGTGAAGTAGTCTACCTTGGGTGAATGTTTTTAAATATTTTATCTATTGCTGCAATGGCTGCTACCTAGAGAGGACATGATTTGTTCCATATACACTCACCAATAAGGTACTTTCTGGTATTTAGTTTCTTAGAACACTGAGAAGGGAAAAAAAACCCAACAAAACAGTAATGCCTACGTTCCTAGAAAGGGAATAACAACAGCCTAAATCAGTGCATCCATTAATCAGAATGTTTACACCAGGATGAGAAATGCCACAGAACCAAGAACTTGAAATTATCAACCTTTTTTATTTGTTTTTTTTAACGCTCTGAAACTGGCATTCCCGAGCAGCAAGATTAGATTATTTGTATTTTCTTGCTTATGCTTGAGACCAGTGTTCACTTTCCTCCCTTTGACAGCGTGTGTATAGGGGTCCCAGAACAGGCTGTAAGGGGTGCAGAACGTGACACCGTAGGAGTGCCCGGAACCAGTGCACTGTTACCTTTACTCTTAGCAGTGCGTGACTGGTGATTAGGAAGGACTTGTGAGCAATCCAGTTTACACAAAACTGGGCAGAAGGTAGGAGGCAGTTGATACTCACTGACTGTGAAAGGAATTAAGAGATTGCCTGCATCAGTGGCCTTGATGCCAGTTTGTGAGTAGGAGTTTTTTAACTGTATCGGAGGCACTCTAGAGGCTGCAACTGTGACATAAGAAGCACTCCTTCCAGTTCTGTGTAGGAGGACAACAGCAACCTGAAATGACTATGTGATGAACTACTCTGTGAAACTGGGCATTGCGTTCTGTGAAAACCTGAAGGCAGCTCAGACTGCTGTAATCTATTTTTCTGTCTTGCTAAACCAGTGTTCTGTGGCCTGCAGTCAGCCTCTAAGATTCCACTTAGGAATTCAGAGGATAAATCTTGGTCTTGAAAATCCTGAATGTCTTTGGCAAACATTGTAGCATAATGCATGGGGAACAGGAATCTCAGATAAATGTGGCTGAATGTTATGTCATATTCAGTGTTGCACAGCATGTCTTTGATTGTGATTTGTAATCTAGCTAATAGCATCCATGTAAGCTTACAAGGGGAAACAGATACTCCGCAATCCTAATAGGTTACTTCTGGCTTCTTTCAGGATGGCTTTCGTTTGAGGGGATGTTACTCTTCTATACTGACTTCATGGGAGAAGTAGTGTTTCAAGGGAATCCAAAAGCGCCTCACAACTCAGATGAGTATCAGAAGTACAACGCTGGGGTCACCATGGGCTGCTGGGGAATGTGCATCTATGCATTCAGTGCTGCTTTCTATTCAGGTACTTAGTACAATCATCTTAGACACTGCTGTGAGAAAGATCCACCTACTCCTTAAGTGGTGTTTCTGCAACAAGTAGTCCAGCATTTATGTTGCACGTAGCTTCCCACATGGCACGAGTACTGAAGCAGTGTTCTTTTTCACCGTATTATCTCTGCTAGTTAGCTTGGCCTGCACTGACAGAAGATGAGGTCAGCAGCTCAGTGAAAGCCCATCTCTGCTAGTATATAGTTCCTTTCACAAGTGGCATTTTCAGTGTACATTGAATTCAGAAATACACGCAGTCACCACAGGCACAGTTCTGGTGCGGCAGCACTGGGTGCCCATGTGCCCCCAGCAGAGTGCCTCGGTGTCACGCACCACCCCAGCACCTTATCGTGTGTGTCATGTGTCTGCCTTGCTCCCCCTCTGTCCGCCCCCTGACAGTTCCCATTTACCCCTCCGGGACGGGGACACTGCCAGGCTTCAGCTCTGCTGTGCCCTCCACATAGGTAGGGCAGCAAGGCTGCATTGTGGCAGTGGGATTTGGTAGGGGTCCTTGGCTCTCATGTGCGAACCACCAGGTACTGAAAGGCCTAATGGTTGCTGTTGAGATGTGGCTGCCTAACCACTGGGCTACGGGGCCTGAAGGTGCACCCCTCTGGTCCACAGGCTGGCTAGAGGCAGGGAGGGCCACAGTTCACCCCGAATTCTGTGCCATTGTCTTGCAGCCGCGCTGGAGAAGCTGGAGGATTTTTTACTTTGTGGCATACTTGGCCTTCGGGCTGGGCACGGGGCTGGCCACGCTCTCCAAAAACATCTATGTGGTGCTGTCACTGTGCGCTACCTACGGCATTCTCTTCGCCACGCTCTGCACGCTGCCCTACTCCCTGCTCTGCGACTACTACCAGAACCGCGAGGTGAGCCCTGGGCTGGTGAGGGGAGAGGGGCTCCTGCGGCGCCTCCTTACGCTGTGTCCCCCACAGTTTTTAGGCTCGCAGGTGGAGGGCACTCAGCGCGGGATGGGCATTGACATCTCCCTTCTGAGCTGCCAGTACTTCCTAGCACAGATCCTCGTGGCCCTGGCCATGGGGCCGCTGACAACAGCTGTGGGCAGCGCCAGCGGCGCCATGTACTTCGCCAGCCTGGTGTCCTTCCTTGGCTGTCTTTTCTCCTCTCTCTGCGTCACCTACGAGTCTCCGCCCACTGAGGAGCTGCTGCCCGCTGAGGAGCAGCGCCCGCTCTTGCCTCGTGCACGAAACCAGTAAATGGGAGAAGCCGCCACAGCCTCCACTGCCTTGTTGCATCGCCCTCGGCCTTCCCATCGTGGTGCGATGGGCTCGCGCGCCCCTGGGACAGCAGCGGTGGGCACAACAAACGGCAAGAAGGCCTGCACTGGCTTTGCTGAGCTTTCCCCTCTCTGTGGGAGGGCGAGGGGTGAGTCGGCAGCGCCTGGCACCACTTGTCCTTCCCCTGAGATGGCAAAGGCCCCTGGGGCTGCAACAACAGGAGGCAGTGGTGTCAGCATGGGGCTGTTCCCTCCAGATGCCCCACGGTGCACTCATTCCCGGGGACACAAGTGGTGTCTGGCCTGAGGCAAGGGACCCGGTCTGGTGCCCGGGCAGGGCAACCATGATCTCTTGGGTGGCAACGAGCTGCGGAGCCGCACACACCACTGCAGGTGCCGACGCTGCAGGAGCACTTGGGGCCACAGCACTCCGCCAGCTTTGTGGGCAGAAGGTGCCACCTCACGGCCAGGCAGAGTGGTCCGGTCCTTGGTCGCTGAGGGCAGCGCTGACTCCCGTGAGGCCTCTGGGAGCATCGGGGTCAATCGGCACGTCTTGGCCGCTGCCCCTGGTAGGCATGGCTCTGGAGGGTGCTTTTCAAAACTTTGGAAAGGCTGAGAGCAACTGGTCTTGCTCAGGTGGCCCAAGTACTCTGTCAAGTGCCATGGACAGGCTTCTGGGTGCACAGAGCTCCCATCAGCAGAACTGCTTCAAGAAGCTGCTGTGGCGTGAAACCTCAGCAGCATGGCTCCCAAACCCTGCTCTGCAGGTTGTGCCTGTGGTCCACAGTGGTGGTGTCTTGGTGTCAGGACCACCACCACCACGTGGTCGCAACACCGCCTCCCCCCCCCACTCCCCTCCCGGTAAGATGGGGACGAATAAGAAAAGTGGAACCTCCTGAGTTGAGATAACGACAGATTTTTAATAATACCACACGAGGAAAGCAAAAGAAAGAAGAATATAACAATAAGACAAGATATAGAGTACAATGGAAACACTGATACAATGAAAATCTCACCACCACGAGCTTCACAAAAGAGAGCCCTCTCCCGGCTAGCTTCCCCTTATATCCCGGGCATGACGGGCATGACGTCAGCATGGTATCGAATATCCGGCTATGCCCAACTCCCAGCTTCTGTGAAGAATTAACCCTATCCCAGCTGGACCCAGGACAGGTGGTTGCCAATATGTGCATATTTCCTTCCACATTACACTTTTAACTAAGACTGCAAGGGCTTGTGGTGACTTGGCAGGAGGATGGGCACTTGTCTGTAACCCAGCTTTGGGGAGAAAGGTCTTTTTGTGTCAGCTTCCCTTGGGTAGAAGCTTAGTCTCAAGGTTGAGAATTTAAGAAAAATAATTTGTGTGAAAGCCTGCAGCACATCATCCTTGTTTTTCATATAGTTGTACCTTGTGACATTTTAAAGTCTGCATGGGGATCAGTGATTTAAGTACTTGCCAGCTAGAGCTGCATCTTACATATCTCACTGAAGCTAGTAAAAGGGCTTTGGGTTTCCTTATCGGTCAGAATTCTTCATTATTCTGATTTTGAAAGGTGATAACCATGTGAGATCTCGCACAAGTTGCAGTTAAGCTCAGGAGTCTTTCAAGTCTTGACAGCAAAAATGAAAACAGAAATAAAGGTAAAAGCATTTCTAGGATTCCTGTCAGCGTGCCTCCTGATTTGGGTAGGCAGCAAAGGTTTAGCAAGGGTGATGGGCATTTTGGTGTTTATGTGTGCTGTGCATGGCATCCCTGTAGAGACTATTTTTGTTCACCTTGTCTTTAGGTTCAGAAGAAGGGTTTCCTCTGGAGGGTCACTCATTTTAAATGAGCTGTACTTGACTGTTCACGTAAGTTTATTCTGATGCTCGATCTATGATGCCAAGATGAAATAACTTGTGTAATCTTTAGCTGTTGTGGCTTACTGTAGTCCAGCAGTGAAAGCATAATGCACAACTTGTAAGAACCCCTTGTTTTTATCATCTGCCCTCCGTGTAGTACTTTTTATTTGAGAAGCAAGTTTCATGCTACTTAGTATTTACTTAAATGGAGGAACACTACTGAAGTTATGAAGTCAAGCACTCACAGGTAAAGAAAGGACTGTCAGATTGATGAGTCTATTAATCTTTTTTTTTTGTTTGTTTGGGCTTATGTAGTGTCACATCTGCAGGAATGTCCATGACATGCTGTTTCTTTGATTATGGGACAGCTGTCTTCAAGAGTGGTCAGGATGAAGCTGGAACAAAATAGCATGTACATTTGGCACTTCTGATTTCTGACAATCTAAAGACTTGTCTTTGGAGAATTTTTCTTTTCTTGTTGGTCTGCAGTGTAACCTTCATTTCTCTTCCTTATCTTTTAAAACTTTTAAACTCAAAAATGGTTTCTTTTTTTTTTGGTCCCTCTACCTAAGGTGGTACTACTTCTTAAAATGTTTTCTCCTCCTAAGTTTTGTAGCCAGCATTATTGCACTAGATGGATCATGAACACTTTCCTTTTCTAGGTAGCTGGAGTTGCAGATAATTTTGTTGCAAGCATGGATCTTCAAAAGATTGACAGAACTGATTAAATCAATGTATTTGATGGTAATGTTTGTCTGCTTCCATCTGTAAATAATACTATGAAATACATTTATATAGTTAAAACTATTGCTATGCCTGTATGCATTGCCCAATATATTTTCTGTTTTATGAGATATGGACTTTATTTTGCATATGTATTTATATAGTGTTTATATACATAGTACTTTTAAGTCAACATCTGTGTATGTTAATTTGGGGCTTTGAGCAATACTGGTGGTGTCTGGAAAAAACCCAGAGCCTGCCGCCATCATGCAGAGTTGGAAGTCACACCAGATCTATAGGAATAACCTAAAAAAGAGGCATTGCTTACTTGCTGATTCTCTTCCTTTGTCATACATTTTGTGTTTTACAGAAATTACTGTATGTGGTCACTGTTGAACTGTGAGCTGCAAAGTGATGTTTACCTTTTGGAATCCAAATGCTTCAAATATTCTAAATCTGTGAGCTGCTGTTTAGAAGTAAGATGCACGAGTTTAGGCAGGAAAGTGATTTTATAACATGCTGTGGTTTAATCTCTTCAGCAGTGCCTAGTGGTTAATTTTGATCAAGTCCTTACCATTAAAGGTTGCTTGAAGGCAGTTATTTGTGGACATTCATAAATGTATTTATAACACGTGCAGAAGTAGGGAAAATGGGGAGTGGGACGGAGAAAGCACCTAATTGTCTCATGTTTGTAATTAAGCTAGCTGTAACCTTTTCAGCGTGTGTCTGCAGTTCACTCGACCTCTGGCGTGTCTCTCAAAAAAGACAACCCAACGATTTTGTAACTTTTGCTGTATCTTTGAGTGAAGAAAGTAAGTCTTTTCAAGAATCAAATTAAATAAAATTGCATGACTATATATATATATATAAGAAAAGCTATATCAGGAACTATTTGAAAAGAGTTGTCTAGACTATTTTCTACTACTGACTAGTTAGTCATCTTGTATTCTATAAAAGATGTGCTTTATTTTATTAAAAAGTAATTTGTCTTCAGGTAAAAGGTGGCTTTCTTAATGTATGTTCTCCCTCCCTCAGACTGGAAGACAGCCTTAGTGAGAGACTTCTAGATGCCATAACCATAACAACACCCAATGGCTTGCATTAAGTACAATAAACATCTTGAGAATTCTATGGCTACTGGAGCTGAAATCCAAGGGAGATCTGCAGCATCTGTTTAATTTATCTAAATTGACATTTTTATACCTCTTGTCATTAAGACATAATGATTCATTTAAGCCTAGCTTTTCTGCTGGGAAGGTTTTTGTTTATGTTCACTAAGGAAATGGCTGCAGTATCTTTCCATTGCTGTTCCTCTGCCCCCGGCTGCCTCTTCGGTGGCAGGGTAAGTGGAAGGGAAGGTGCTAGTGAAAGCAGGCCTGCATTTAGGGTGTCAAATTTCAAGCTGCAATACCCAAGACAACAGCAAAAGCTGTAGGGCAGCAGCACAGGGACACGCTAGAGGTCTTTTACTAGAATCCTTAGTTTTTGTGGTATTGCTGTCCATGCTGTCTCCTAACAAGTTCGAAGGTTCTGGGAACACAGTGTTCTACACTGTACAAGTTGTTGTTCATGTTAAAATTAAAAGCCTTGCCAGTGTGCACTCTCTCTCATATATCCTGTGCAGAAAAGGCAAATGCATGGAATAATGAGAAATTTTGTTGTATGCAGCTTGCTGCCTAAGGTCCCTACCCACAGTGGTAGCCAAGGAATTTTATTTTTGATCTGAAAGGTGACAGCATAGTCCAATACCCAAACAGCACTAATAGTTAACAGTAAACAAAGGGGAGACAGCTTCATCAGCTTGCCCAGTGTATGGAAGAGAGCAGTATTCTGGGAGCAGGAAGAAAACAGGCAATGAGTAATGTTAATTGGGTGAATTCAAATGTGAGATATGCACAGTCTGCAATGGGGATGATGCAGTATTCGCCATGTATATAAGCTATATGTAAGCTTGTTTGTTTTGGTTTTGCTTTTTCTAGGATCCAGTGATAGCTTTCTCGAACAAAGGATAACAAATTTTGTTCCGATAGCCAATGGAACAGCCAACAGGGGAAAGAAATCACAGTGTCAGAGCAGAAGTGAAGATTTTGGTTTGTGTGAGTAGTGCTAACCAAGCTTACGTGAGCTACTTAAATAATGAGGGATTTAACACAATTGCTATCAAATGCTTTGAAGAATTACTACGCTAGAGATTTGAACTTCATCTGTAGCTTTCTTCAAGCTTAGCTTTTGCTGTGCATCAGCCTGGTGATACTCCACTCTGCTTCTGACTTATGCTCACTCCTTGTATGCAGTTATGCCTTAGCAGGGAACTTGAGACAATAGGCAGAGCAAGAGAAAAGCTGAGAAGAGCCACTGCAGAAAGCATGACCTCTTCGCTATCGGACTAAGTAGTGTCTGATGCTAATAGTAATC